GAAATGGTAAAAGCACAACATAATAATTTTAAAAAGATAATCATCATAAAGACATTGAAAATAATCAGATAAAAAGAAATAATCAACAGAATAAACAGAAAGCCCACAGAATGGGAGAAAATATTTGCAAAGTGTGCATTCGACAAAGGACTAGTATCCATAATCTACAAGGAACTCAAATCACCAAGAAAAAAGAAAAAAAAAAAAAAAAAAAGCAAAGAATTTCATTAAAAACTGGGCCAAGGATGTGAATAGACATTTCTCAAAAGAAGATATACAAACGGCTAAGAGATATATGAAAAATGCTCAACATCACTAATAATCAGGAACATACAAATTAAAGCAACAATGAGATACCATCTTACTCCTGTAAGAATGGCCATTATTAAAAAATCAGAAAAACAAGAGATGTTGGCATCGATGCTGGCATCGATGTTGGCAAAAGGAAACACTTATGCACTGCTGGTGGGAATGTAAATTAAAACAACCTCTAGGGAAAATAGTATGGAGATTCCTTAAAGAGCTAACAGGAGATCTACCATTCAATCCAGCAATCCCGCTACTGAGTATCTACCCAAAGAAAAAGAAGTTATTATGTGAAAAAGATACTTGCATATGTATGTTTGCACCAGCACAATTTACAATAGCAAAAATGTGGAACTAACTCATCAGCTAATGAGTAGATAAAGAAAACGTGGTATATATATACACACCATAGACTACTGCCCAGCCATAGTAAAGAATGGAAGAATGTCTTTTGCAGCAACTTGGATGAAGCTGGAGTCCACTATTCTAAGTGAAGTGACTCCACAATGGAAAAGCAAACATTGTATGTTCTCACTTATAAGTGGGAGCTAAGCTATAAGGATGCAAAGGTAGATAGAGTGATATAATGGACTGTATAGACTCAGAAGGGAGGAGGGTAGACATAAAAAAAACTGCATATTTGGAACAATATACACTACACAGGTGATGGATATACTGAAGAATCAGAATTCATCCCTATATAATACATCCATGTGACAAAATCTTGTACCTCAAATGCTGAATAAAATAAAAAATAATTTAAAACATTTAATTTTAAAAAGCTGAACTGGCCCAATGTGGAAGGGGAAGTTGGTGGTGGATGAAGACAGCACTCTGTCATCAGTAATGTGGTTTCTAACCAACTGGAAAACACCAAGCCTAAGCTAGAAAAGCTTTTGTTTGGAGAAAAAGGGGGCAATTGAAAAAGTAAAAGAAACTATTCAAGAAGTGTATCATTTATATGCATTCTAAATGAAATATTCATGAAAGGGGCATCATTTGTGCTTCTGTTGTTGCAGATGACGTGGAAACACTGATAACTATAGAGATGAAGAATTCAATTGTAACAGCATAATTGGCTCTGCAGTTTAAAATAACAATAATTGTAGAGCTGTACAGATATTATCATTGATTTTTAAGTTTTAGAGTCATACCCGTCACTGAAAATGTGATCATTGTTGCAGAACTGAATAAAACCTTTGTCTCAAGAACATAAAATATGAATAAATGGATGAGAATTAAAATGCAGAAGTGGCAACAGAAACCAGGAGGAAAGTAACAGTGTTAGGAAAGGGAATACACGAGAAAGCAGAAAGAAAGTTAGCTTCATATTATATAACTTAATTCATTGATGAATGATACACATAAATACAGAACTCAGACAAAATGACTTCCAAGAGAAACAAAAATCACTCAAATACCAAAAAAAGGTATATGAAGTGTTATTATATCATTATCATAGAATATGTCAATGGGATTCTTAAACATGCTTAAGTGTAAATGTTTGCTCCCTTAAATTATACATAATATAACATAGCCTTTCAGTGATAATTAAGCTGTTTAGAAAATATATAAAGAAGGAAAACTTTTAAAGCATTAATTTTTCTGTTTGATATAACTGAATGCTAACACCTGTAGATTAAAATTATTTATGATTAATTGGTGCAAGATTTCTACATCCATAACAAGCAGATGTGAGCTCAGAATGTAAATAGTATTTTGTTCATGACCTAATGGGACTAATTCCAATAATACAAGAATGTTTTCACATCGGAAGTAGACATATGTGTACATGAGCATTTGTGAATATAAGTGTACATTATAACTTTTTTTTTCTGGCTAGTAAAATTCAACAGGAGAACGAAAGGGGGGGTCTTGGATATAGGTGAAATAGTGACTTAGATGACGGCAAGACTATCTAAGTTGCATAAGGGATGACTCAATCCAAACAGGACCTAGTTGAAAAGCAAAAATTAAGAGTTTCAAGAAGCTAGTGGGAGCACTGATGAGGGATACAGGAACAGATGGTTTCAGGTGTGAACACGATGGGGATGTGCATCACATTTGCATGAAGATACTTGTGCTTCCTACAAAGATGGGGGCCATTGAGCAGAATCTAGGATGCAGAATGACAATTCCACAGGGCTATTGCTTTTTGTTCTGCCTCCTACGGCTACATCACACATCTGCATGGAAGGTACACATGGGAAGGGTATGCTGTTTCAACAAATGAGTGACATGAGTCATGCAAGAATATCTCCATTTCCATATCAGGTCATTAAGATCCTCACCTAAATTTAGTTTGGGTATTTCAACAGAGCATAAAACTGCATATTACTTTTTTCTTTTAAAATTTTTATCTCCACTTGTTTATACAAGAATAGGTATTACTTATCTGTAAGTAGTGGCAAAAAGAGTACCTGAGCAGTGCACATCCATGACCAACCCACATTTATGCATTTATGTTTATTGTGGCATGCACATTTTCTTTTCAAGACAGGTGCATGCTGCCATGACTGGCTAATTAAAAAACAATTATTTTAGTAGAGATGACGAGATTTTGCTATGGTGCCCAGCCTGGTCTTGAACTTCAGAAATACAAAAGTCCAGAATTCCCATTTGGAAAAAATTGAGCAGTGAGATCTTTACAGCCTCTACTGTCTGAGTTATTATTGTAGAGTTCCTCCTTCTAGGAATCAAGCCATTTCTCAGCCTATGGGCTCTAGATTACAAAATTGCTTCATTTATTTATTTGTTTTTGAAACAGGGTCTCCTTTTGTCACCCAGGCTGCAGTGCAGGGGTGAGATCACAGGTCATTGCAGCTTCCAACTCCCAGGCTCAAACAATCCTCCTACCTTAGCTTCCTGAGTAGATGGTACAACAGGTTCACACCACTATGCATGAATTCTTTTTTTTTTTAAATTTTTTACAGATAAAGTCTTGCCATATTGCCCAGGCTGGTCTTGAACTTCTGGGATCAAGTGATCCTCCTCCCTTGGCCTCCCAAAGTGCTGGGTTTTTAGGTGTGAGCAATTGTGCTTAGCTGGTATACACATTTTCAAAACTCATGGAACTGTATTCTCAAAATACATTCATTCCATTACATATAAATAAAGTTTATTTCAAAAAAGAGAATTTCCCGAGAGAGGGTTTCTCCTCCTGGATACTATTGACATTTGCGGCTGGATAATTCTTTGTGGTGGGGGCTGTTCTATGTATTGTTAAGATGTTTAGCGGCACCTCCAGCCTCTGCCCACTAGGGAACATCCCTGGCTCTATTCCCTCTTCCACACTGAGCCATGACAAAAAAAAAAAAAAAAAAAAAAAAATGTCTGTAGACTTTTTCAAATGTTCCCTTGTAGATAAAATTTCCACTGGTTGGAAACCACTTATCTCATGCTACAATATTTGGTTCACTTAAATGACAAAATAAATAAAAGACACTGGAATCAGCACACAACCCAGAAATGGTCACAGGTAAATAGGAGTTTTAGTGCATGATGAAGGTGATGCATCTAATGAGTGTTAGAAACATTAGTCTTGCATGTTTTTTGAATAAATGCAAACTTTGGAAAAAACAAATGTGGGTCTCTATTTAAAGCCAAACATCAAAATTCCAGAGATATTATAGTTAGAGTTAAATTGCTTGATACAACGAGAAAAAGAACATAGAGGTGGGTATGATCTTAAAGCAGAGAAAATCCTTCTAAGTAATTTCAGAGATAGAACATCAAAGGGGAAAGTGATTTTTGTTACTTAAACTCAGTAAGTCCAATAGAATCACGGCACCTCAGAGCACATTTTTTCCACATCTTCAAATAGAATGGTTGGATCTAAGAGCACATATCCCCTCTCCATCCAGCACTGAAGCCCAGAATGAAATGTGACCATGAAACTTTGCACTACCAATACTGTAATCAGCCAAATAACAATTTTTTTTTTCCTATTTGGAAGCCTGAATTGTATTGAATTATACATTATAAATTAAATTGCTATATTTATTATTCTCAATCCCTCTCTGTGATATGAATGGAGAAAATATATTGCAAGCTTTATGGTTTAACTAATCATTTTAAAAGGAGAATAATACAATTTTCTTGCATGAAAATGCAGATATAAGCCTTATGCACATACAAAACATATGCTCTTCTTATATTTAAATTAAGAGAAATAGGACTATTTTGACATTACACAATGACATATAAGGACTATAAAGATTTTTGTTGCCAACAGAGAGAATATGTCACTAAAATTGTGTAAAATCAGAGAAGGTAGAATTATTAATGACAATATAAAACAAAAACAGAAGTCAGAATCACAGAAAAATATTTTAAAACTGGTTAAAAATATTACACAATGAATAACTGCAAGTTTTTGTTCTTGACATACTATGTATAGAAGCTACATATTCTAAAATACAGTGATTCAATGAAGTTTGGTGATAAACATTTGACATATCTCTCATTTGAAAATATGTCACAATGATGAATAATTTAGCCAATGATTATTGATGGAGTGCTAATACTAGAAAACCACATTGCTATTATCAGTCAAGAATGACTTAATTTTTCTTCTCTTAGTGAGGTATATTTGGTTAGTTGCTTATGCAAATCTAAATGCCCATTTTTTCTAGCTAACAGAAATCCTAAAACTGTAGCAGCAATGTGAAACAAATCAAGTGATTAATTGATACCGATCCAATGCAACCTTGACAATTCTCTTCTTGCTTATCCAACTTCTCTTGGGCCATGTGACCTGTATAGCCAGTAAGGTACATGGTGAATCCACGGGGGCAGGGAGTGGTGTGGCCATCTCTCTTCCATATCTCTGTCTGATGTGTAGACAGGAAGCAGAAAAACATTCTCATGGAGCCTCTTATCTCCTGGCAGGACCGACAGAATTTCTTTGCTTGACTAAACTGTGGTCATGCTCCTGAACCTTGTCTTACGTCCCCTGAACACTTCCTTGTAAAATCCAGTTTTAGCAAGAATCCTGCTAAGCCAGTTTAGCAAGAACTCTTTACTCTCCTATCTGTTCAGGCTTCTCATTCTCCCCCCTCCTCCAGGTGATGCCTGATTTCACTGGCCTGACTTCAGCTAAAATCCTATTAGGTCGATTTAGCCACAATCCCTCTCACCCTTGGTGTATCCTCTTAATCATTTTCCATCCACGGACTTCCACCCTGCTCCCTGGCTATAAATCCCCACTTGTCCATGCTGTATTGAGAGTTGAGCCCAATTTCTCTCCTCCACTGCAAGACCCCATTGCCATAGTTCCTGTATCTATCCCAACAGGCCAGAATAATGTCTGATTTACCATACTGTAACAGGCATCATTCATATTTCTTTTATTTAACATGTCATACCATTTTCAGGCTTCTGGTTAGCTGAGAAAATTAGCGCTCTGTATGTTTAATCCATCTAGAGTTAAATGATAGTTGCTGTTTTAGGCTGAGCTTTACTCTCTCCAAAATTCACACGTTGAAACATTAATCCCCAGGACCTCAGAGTGGGACTGTGTTTGGAGATGGGGCCTCTAGACAGGTGATTAACATAAAATGAGGTTGTTACTGTGGACCCTAAGCCAATAGGATTGGGGTCCTTATAAGAAGAGATGAGCGCCGGGCGCGGTGGCTCAAGCCTGTAATCCCAGCACTTTGGGAGGCCGAGGCGGGTGGATCACGAGGTCGAGAGATTGAGACCATCCTGGTCAACATGGTGAAACCGCGTCTCTACTAAAAGTGCAAAAAATTAGCTGGGCATGGTGGCGTGTGCCTGTAATCCCAGCTACTCAGGAGGCTGAGGCAGGAGAAATTGCCTGAACCCAGGAGGCGGAGGTTGCGGTGAGCCGAGATCGCGCCATTGCACTCCAGCCTGGGTAACAAGAGCGAAACTCCGTTTCAAAAAAAAAAAAAAAAAAAGAGATGAGTGGTGGCATGCGCCTGTAGTCCCAGCTACTCAGGAGGCTGAGGCAGGAGAATCACTTGAACCCGTGAGGTGGAGGCTGCAGTGAGCAGAGATTGTGCCATGACACTCCAGCCTGGCACCTGGAGACAGAGCAAGACTGTCTCAAAAAAAAAAAAAAAAAAGAAGAAGAGATGAGGACACGGACACTCACAGAGGAACCACCATGTGAGGACACAGGGAGAAGGTGGCCTCTACAAGCCCAGGAGAGAGGCCTCAAGAGGAACCAGCCCTGCCCGCACCTAGATCTCAAACTTCCAGCCTCCAGAACTGTGGGAGAATAAATGTCCGTTGTTTATAAGCCACCCAGTCTATGGCATTCTGTTATAGCAGCCTGAAATGGACTAAGGACACAGACACGGATGTGTCTGTGGGATGACCTTGTGAGGACACAGAGCAAAGACAGCATCTACAAGCCAAGGAGAGAGGCCTTGGGAGGAACCAGTCCTGCCCACACCTTGATCTCGAACTTTGAGCCCATAGGACTATGAGAAAATAAATTCCATTGTTTAAGCAGCCCACTCTATGACACCTTCACATAGCAGCCCTAACAAATTAATATATGAAATAGTTACCTCCAGCCTAAAGAATCTGGCAGAATTGATACATTAATATATGGTTTTGATTATGAGACTTAACCACAGACTATTTCCTGGAGCCAGATACAGACATGGCACATTCTGACACTGGCCCGGGCTTTAATGCCAGTGACCATGAGTAGGCAATAACCATGACTGACAACTCCAACACCTTTAAGATTGTGGTCGTGGTTTCTGGGGAGGAGCCCACGTGGCTACTGTATAAAGACCCTATGGGATTTGTCAAGCACCAATTGCAAACTCAGTGATTATGCCAGTCGTGAGACTCATATTGTTACCTTATCATCAGAGTGAATTAGCAATTATGAGAAATGTGAGCTCACACAGAGTTTTAGAATATTTACTGCATTATAACTCAGAATATGACCATACTGTTTAAAGATTAGAGCACACAGCAGTTTTCAAAAATGGATGCCCACTACAAATCCATCCAATCAACACATACTCATTTAGTAAACACTTTTGGCTAGAGCCTGTGCTACCAAGACTACAATGATATCTAGATGACTTTGCTGTCCTCCCAAAGCGTAAAGTTGAGCAATAGCGAGGAAGAGCATCTATAAGCATATGAAAAGTATAACAAAATGTTGATGAATATCAGCTGTTCTGATTTCTCCGTCCCATCTAAGTTGCAGAGGAAATATTGAGTTTCTTTATTTTTACAGGTCAGCTGACGCCCTGACTCAGAGAGCCCATCTCAACAAGATGATGAGACAAACTCAATTCTTCTCCTTCTTCCATGGATATGCCACGTGTGTGAGGTTGTTCCTGCACTGTGCATTTTTGAAACCGATAGGGCCTTACAGGCATTAGTAATTAATCTGCTTTTGCGCTTTGTACAGAACAGCAAAATCAACTTGCCAGAGGAGAATCATGCAGCTATTTCAGATTAAGGAATGACAGCACAAGTACCTTGCTTGCAAATCCAATAGACTATACCTCGGATTGCTCTTCTGTGCTCGGCAAAACTTTTTTGAGTTGAAGTAAATTCCCTTTTTCACAATTAGTGCACCCCAGGATTATCACCCTCTGCTTGACACCCAGTATAATTCCCTGGAATTACTCATTTAGAAAACACAAAAATTAGAAAGATAATGGATTTCTTGAATTATTATTATTTTTTTCGAGGAGTGCTTGAAAATTTCTGAGGCTAGGAATCTTAGAGCATAAAATTTCTTTAAGTAAGGGGATGGAAACAATATATCACTGCTCCAAAGGAAATAAAAGGTGGGGTCTCTTGAAAATGAAACAGGGCTAACAAAGGTATTGGAAGAGTAGATGTAAAAAGTCCACTAAAGTGAGGGAACATATGAGAAATGGCGGATGATTGATGTTAGTTGAAGGTGGGAGAAAAATGACTTCTTGCAGGGGGTAAAGCTGTATGCCCTTGCAAGGAGTAATAAAAAATACATGCATGAAATTTAATAAAAAGGAGTTACTGGGAGAATAGCTGGAGTAGAAAGAGAATGGATTATGGAAATAAAAGGCAATGAAATAATAAAATATGAAAGATGGGACTTCCATTGATTAAAGGTGATGATAACCAGCCATAAACTGAGGACTGTGATCAATTAAACTGAAGGCTAGGAGCTTCAAAGTAAAATAATGTTTTATTTGTGTTCCATATATATATATATATATATATATATATCTCATTTATCTATCTATCTATCTATCTATCATTTATCTCTCTATATATTATCTATCATCTGTCTAATCTATCTGTCTATATCTATGCATCTATCATCTATCATCCATCTTCTATCTATTTATCTAGATTGATGGATGGATGATGGATAAATGGATCAAAAATCAGACAAATAAATGATATATATGTATTGATATTGAGGGTGGTCAGCTCTTTTTATCTGAAAACTTTAGTAAACAGAATTTTACAAGAATTTTTAAATTTGGTATATGACTCTTAAGTATACCCAGTATAATGATAAGTTAATACAAACTGCTAACATCTATCTGTTGGTCACTCTACATAGGAGCTCAATTATATGGGTAGGAATATAAGTATAAATTAATATGATATGTAATACATATTAGATACATTAGCTTCTATCTATGTTTGTTCTAGCTGTCTTTTGCCTATGTATTCATTATCAAACTGTATCTGTTTATCATCTGTATATATGTATTATCTAGCTATTGTTTTTCTATTTATCTTCTATTTATGTAGATTGATAGATGGACAGATGGATGAGTAGATGGATGGGGGAATAGATGGATGGAAAGACAGAGAGATAGGTGACAGAGATAAATATACCCAATTAATATTGTTAATGTTCACAAACTAAGGACATAAGAAAAACGTAGAGTTGCCATACAGTGTTAACCTCAAGCTATTGATAAAATTGTCCACTTTGCAGTTTCCCAGTGTTGGTGCGGAGGTGCAGGGGAAGACTGCCTCTCACTCAACGTCTATATCAAACCCTTTCGATGTACCCCTCTGTATTGCTGAGCCAAGAAAAATAAAAAATGTTCATTCTTCATTTCCTGTGTAGATAAAGATTACGTATGCAATTTAGACCTTTTGTTTTTTTTTCCTTTCTTTGTAAACTTTTTCAATGGCATAAAGCATGCATTCTGAAAAAGGTCTTACAAAAATTAAACAGCTTTCCAAATAAGGCAAGACCTGCAGAACAAGCACCCCGGTCAAGAAACAGAACATCATCAGGACCTTGAAGTACCCCCAGAGTTCTCTCCCTTTCCCCTTGGAGATGGCTTTAGCTTATATTTTACTGCAATTGCTGCCTTGTATTTTTTTTTTTTCTAAACGTGTATGCATAAGAGTGAAAATTTTGGAATTTCACATAAATGAGCTTATAGCTTACCTGTTGTTTTGTCTCTGGCTTCTTTCACTGACTATCACATTTTGAGATCCAGTCAGATGTTATAAGTAACTTGTAGTGGATTTATTTTCCCTGGTGACTAGTATTTTATTCTATGAATATACCACAGTGTATTGATTCATTCCATTGTTGGCAGATATGGTAATTGATTTCATTTGCAGCTCCTTTAAGCCATGCAGCTGTGAGCATTTTTCATCATATTACTTGGTTCACAGAGAATATAATTATGAGGAAAATTCCTGGGGCTTTATGTGATTTAGGCTTTGCCGACTGAATGCAGGCACCCAAAATTCTGAAGGTGGAAGATAAACTGCCTCTGTTCTTTCTCACTGGAAAACTCAATCACAATCCAGT